TTGCTCCGCGACTCTGCTCAAATCTTAACTGCCTTTATTTTTTTTTCTGTTGTGGCTGAGTTCCTCCCGCTGCACGACTGAAACAGTGATATTGCCTGCTGTGGCTCTGAGTAATGTTTTTATTCAGAGGCTCTCTAGTTCCTTTAACATTTCATTTTCTCCGTGTTTATTCCAGACATTACAAAGGCAGGAATCCATTTTCCATTCTTTTGATAACCAATTGTGTGTTCTGTATTCACTGGTTAAAGGAATGTGACACTAAACTGGTGTTCAGGTTGTGTTAAGAAAACTGTTCTCCTGCTTTCTTTGATGATCAACACTTTGTTTTTTTGTGTGCTCAATATAGAAAATAAATTAGATTAATTTCCCCCTGTGTCCCAAAGGGTAGATTTTATAATCCCGTTACTTGTTTATGAACCACTTAACAATCTCGGGCCTAAATACCTCTCAGATCAACTCACCTTGTATGAGGCACCCAGGCCCCTTAGGTCATCTGGGGCAGGCCTCCTCGGAGGGCCCAGAATAAGAACCAAGCAGGCTGAGGCAGCTTTTGGTTCTTGTTTTCTTAAAGGTTATTTTTTGGGGCTTTTTTAAGTCTTTATTTAGAGATAAGACGGTTGATTATCGAGAGAGAGGCAAGACACTTAACCCAATTGGCAGCAGGGTATGAATAGATTAGCTAATACTGATGGTCACTTCACATAGCAGCCTCTACCATCAGTGGGTGAATTCTCCATTTGCCATAAAACATAATTTATATTGTGATTTCAATGTGTCCAAAAGTGATCATCGTAAAACTGCGAGGTACAAAAAAAAAGGCTTATTTTTTTTAATCCACTCGATCCGTATACGAGTGCTCTGATTTAATCCAGCGAGTAAAAATGACCTTCCTTTGACCACCTTTGTAATTACCACTTCTCATAGAGTCTAAATCTCCTTACCTCCAGTGGAGTAATTATCAGAGTGACTCACTGAAAAGGCAATTGAGACGGTGGTTTATGGACTCCCACAGTGGAACGTGAGGCAGAGCAGTAATGGGGAGCTTGTTTGTCCCCTCTCACCTCTCTCGTTAGAGAATGACAGCTGTATTTAGACTAGAGCAGTTCCTGAAAAATATACAAGGTGGGTGACATTGGATGGTTTCATTAACTCCTGACGGGCTCCTCTTGACGCCTCTGATTGGCTCTTAATTTACATCACCCCAAAATGATGCTAACGACATATTAAAGCTGTGAGCGCTGATGTGGGATTAGGGCATTTTTTTTATTGTAGGAGTGCTGCATTTATTCCAACTGAGAACTACTTCAGTAGCAATAACTATCTCTTTAAGGAAGCCACACATACATATGATGAAATCATTCACACAAAAGCTTGTTTGGACTTCGAACTCAAGAGTTCTTCTCATTTAATGTGAGCTCTACTTTTACCTTTGTTAACACCCAGAAAACTTGAATCCCTTCTACTGGGGATGAAATATCGCCCTTTCGTCTGACCCTATTTAACGCTGTGTGAAAGACACAGTTTAATGAAAGTCAGTCTGAGTTCCCTTTGTGCAGATGTGATTAAAGCTACACTGCTGTTACACTTCATGTCGGCCTTGACTGACATGAATCAATATGATGAGCACCAACTCATGCCTAAATGCTTCAATAGATGTTTTTGTCATTCTAGTAATGCGTAAATTTACAGTGGAAATTACTTTTACATGAGTGTATTGAAGGTAATAATACAATGAAAGGAAGTGAAGAAAAAGTATCGTGGCTCAATCCATAGTTGTCCTGATTTTAGAGGCTAAACCTTTAAAAATTACAGATATCATCTCAAGCAGTTTTTCCGACATGATTTGCTCTGCAAATAATTTTTATAGAGGTGCAAATTGTAAAACTCAAACACAGATGCAGACAGAGTCCAGTATCATTGTTGTAATATCGATATATCGGTCGAGTTGAAGAACTTGTTTTACATGCATTTAAATCAAACAAACATTACCGCATTTTCCTCCAATACTTCTTTGCATTAAGCAGCATAGTATCATAAGTCTTACAGCGTTTGTCTTCTGCTCAGACTACACCTGTGCACATCCATGCACACTTTAAGGATACATAAGGTAACAGCTGTACACCTCGCTGTTGTGCATCAAGAGGAAAACAAGGAGTCAGGCTCGAATCATCCTCAGAGAGAAAAGTACCGTAATAGGAGGGTTGGCAGTGACTACTGAGATAGCGCTGGTAATGAGAGAGCAGGCTGCTGCCCCCACTCTCCCAACCCGCTTCACTCCTGAACCGCACAGGAAACAAAAATAGCATTTTGTCTGACGAATGAGCCAGCGTTGACCTAGCCTTTCGACCTCTGACAATCAGTCTCGCTCTGTCCTCCAGTACTTCAGAAGCCGGGGCCGGGACAGTCAAAGATAACAGTTGATTTCTTCTGTGGCACTAAAAGCTCACAGAGAGAGAGAGATGGCAGACAGTTCTTCAAAGCGCTGAGGTTGGAGGCCTTCCACTTCTAGGTGCTGGCGTTTCATACTCCCAAAGGATTGTTGTTAACTCTTAAAATGACGCTTGTATCTGCTCATTTAAGGTGCATATCTGCTCTTATGATCCGTATCAGTACTCATTACAAACATTAACATAGGCGAGTTGTGACAGCGGTGAAAGTGGGACCCGTGCCTTTCAACCCCTCGGGCGTGATGACTAAGTGGGAGTGTAGCTTGCTTGGTGTGCGTAGAAGCAGTGAATATGAAACACAACAAAGAGACAGTGGGAGATATAATGAGCACTATAGGATCCCGGCACCCTTTTGGCCTCTCTCCATCATAAGTGAAGCTCCCGCTCTCATCCTCAGCCTTGTGTCTGCTGGAGGAAGGAGCACAAACAATTAGCTGAGACAAGCCGTTTGGATTATGTGCTCAACCAAAGCAATCAGACAGCTGTGGTTAAAAGACTGAGCTTCAAAATGCCAGTTGCCCCGTTAGAGGGGAAGGGAGGGTCAGCGGTCCTGACAGTCTTAACAAGATGACAGAATTTATAAAGCACTGCTGTTAAAGAATATAGTACCTGCGGTGTAGCCCTTATAATAAGGCCACATGGGGCTTCTTCCATATTCCCTCTGTATTTGTTTTCTTTTTCGCCTCATATTTTTTGTTGTACCTCTTGTTCCTCGGCGTAATGGTCGGCGCTGGAGGAAACTCTGCGATCGTCTTTGATCTTCGCCCGCTTTCGATAATTTTCTGACAGAAATCTCATTTTCGCTCCCTTTTGTTTTCTCCATCTTTGTCCCTCTTTATTCCGTCATTAAACGGGGCTCAACATTTTTTTGTCGTTGTTGAAGTTGCGAAAAAGGAAAAGAGCCGGTCCTGTCAGGGGGCCTCGGCGCTGAGAATTGGACTCTCGCCGTTTGCACAGAATATATATATATATAATTCATGGTGGGGGTGTGAGAGAGGTGTCAATGTGTCAGGAAGTCGAAGAAATGTAAAAGTGCACTGTTTACTGGCCAAGAACCCTGGCTCTCTGTTGCTGCTCCTCTGCAGAGATGAGGGAAGAGGAGGATGATCTGATCTTCATCAAATGTTCATCTGTGCCCGTCCTGCAGTCGCAGTGACCGCAACAATCAAAGACTTGTCTGCCCTGATGTTTTATTCATCTTTTATGAGGCAACCATACGTAAATTATTGAAGTGCATTGATTCTGTATGTATACAAGCGTGTCTGCGCCTGTGTCCACCATTGTTCCTCTGCATTATCAATAGATTATTGCACTCGCTCTTTGTTATTCACTCCTTTGGCAAAAGTAAACTGTGCATTCTCTTTTTAGTCATTCAAATAATACTTAACCACTCCTTAGCTGAAGTGTTGTCAGTCCCTATTCCTTTCAGTATGCCGTCCAGTGTGTCGAGTGCAGTCAGATATCACCAACACAGATCAGGTCTTGGTCCCCTCACAGCTTGTATCCTCGTTTAATCCACTGAAAACCATATTGGATCCTGCCGTGCTCATCTGCTGTATTCATCCTTTTTGTTCTTAGAAAGCTGCACGCGCTCAGGTTTTTACTTTCTGTGGTTGTGTTCAGCCGTTGAAGGACAAATAAAATCTAAAGCTGTTTAAAAGTGATTATTTTAAGTTTATTTGATGCCTTTTGCATTTAGCCTGCTCTTTATGGAAAGAGGGTTTGTCTCTTCTCTATGTGATCAGCTGTGAAGGTCAGCTGTGATGTTTTCTTTCAGCCCGATTCTTCACTCTCAGTATTAAAGTCTCCACCATAAGCAGCATGTTGGAGTATGGATTTCTTCTGACATTGGATTTAAATCTGTGTGTCACCTGATTGAAAATCCTGCAAACTCTGTTTTCTGTTGTTTCTCAGTGGTCTGCCACAGAAAACCACCATGAACATCAGATTTGAGAAGGACATCTTGAGTCCATGAGAGTATTACTGCACTCGTGTGGCTGCAGTCTTCTTCAGCCTGAGTGCTAACCGATTTTTTTTTTTTTTGTCCAACGGCATAAAAATTTATAAGCATTTAAATGTTGAAATGAGGATCTAATGGCGCTCCATTATTGGATCCAATTAGTTAATGGGTTTATTTCTGAAGTCTTCCAGTGAAGATGGATGTCTCTTTCCTCTGAGATTTTCAGCCATTAAACCGAAGATTCTGACATTCTCCAATTGACAATGAAGACTTTTGGCTCCAGAGAGAGCAATTATATCAGTCAGGCTTGATAGCTTTGTCCTCCAACTAGCCTAAATCAAATTCACAGTCTTCATCATGCAGTCTGAAACCCTGGAGGACCTTGTTGTGGCTCCGTGTTATTTACATGTCTCTCACTATGCAGCCTTTGCATCCCACACCTCCGTGTGTGCATGTGTTTCCCTCAAAGGTGTGAGCATATTCTTCACATAATGAGGACTGGTTGATGTGCTGAAACACATGTTAGTTGTATATGCAATTTAGGTCACAGGCACAACAAGGAATCAAACAAGTCCATGTCTTTTCATCAACAGCTACCTCATCACTGAACTCCCAGCTCCAACACCTGCAGCAGCTCCAACAGATGCAACAGCATCACCACCAGCAGCAACAGCAACATCAGCAGCAGCAGCAGCAGCAGCAGCAACACCATCACCAACAGACCCACCCCCACACCCAGAACCAGCTGCCACCCCAGCATCACATGACCCCACCCAGCCAGCAGCAGACCTCAGTCCCTTCTCCAGGCTCCACCTGCTCCTCCACCTCTGGACATCCACAGCAGTCCCCGCCACACCGGCAGAACCAGTCGCCGGCCCGCAGCCTTCCTTCGCCCGTCACACCGCCCATGCCCCAGCTGGTGAGTCTGATCAAACTTTTCATTTCTCTGAAACAGAGTGTGCAGCTTAACTTAAAAAGCATTATCTCTAACATATACAACTTCCAATATGTTTTTTAATGTGTAAGGTAACATGAAGCTGTCACACCGTAACGTCTTAAAAGTACAATTTGAGATGTACACCAACTGTCTCATCATGGATGTGCACTTCTTTTTAGAACATAAAATGACCGTAACAAACAGAGAGAGGACAACCTAGATGCTTAACACAATGCTTGATCATGTAGTGTAGGTATTCTAATGCAGGCCTCTTCTATGTTTCTTAAGCACATTTCAGATTAGCTAGTCTCACTTTCCACCTTCACTCAGTCCTTCAGTCTTTTCAGCTCTTCCTATACTCAACCTCCTTTTAGTCACTTTGTCCGTCCATCCATCTCTGCCCTTCTGTCCGTCTGGCTGTCACTGTGTGACGATAATAACCTTTTTTATATCCCTGTGGTTTCATTTCTGGTGGAGACCGGCCAGGGTCGCCTTCCTGTCCCCGGTCACATTCATCAGCGTCAGACCCTTATTGGGTTGTGGTGCAACCTTCTTTATGGCCAGGATGAGTTGGGCTATTTGTTTCCCCCCGTGCAGCCCTCTCCGGCCCTGTCACGGCCTAGTGAGACTCAGCAGGAAAAACAACCTCTGGATTTAATGGGCTCCAAGGGCTAGCAGCTACATCGCACCGAAACCCACTGTCCAGTCTGACTGTGAATACAAGAACTAACTGACCAACATACAGATCCACACATTAGGCTTTCATGAGACAACTTAGCAAGGACTGCTACAAACTGCTTCTTTGTAAGGTTTCCTAGAATCTGTAAACATGTTCCTCTGAGAAACACAAAGACAGCAGCAGAACGGTTCCATGATTCTGAGAGCCGTAGCTTTATATAGATTGTCTTCTTCTAAAAGAAGCAGCCGGGCTGATTATGATGACTGAGGACAGACCTCCCTTGAGGGGGGCCAAAGGGGCCACATCAGGTGTCATTAAGATATTGCCTCATCAAATAGGATTATGGAGCGTGTGTCTGTGTGTGTGTGCTGCTGCGTGGTTGTGTGTACGTGGAGGAGGCAAGAATGGCCGTAAAAGGTTTAGTTTCTCTGGGTCAGTGCTGGTGTTTTCAGAGAGCGTGTCACCCAGGAGGGGCTCGCCCAAGGACAGGCCGCAGCCTCAGCACCCACTCAAGGCTGCAATAGGATTTACCCACAGCTCCCCCTCCCTCCACAGCCTGGGTCAGTGATTGGATTTTCAGTCCAACACTCACTGAGCAACTCGGGTTAATTCATAAATAAGTTTTTAATTCAGGGAGACTCCCTAAGCGGAGACTTTGACACACACACACACACACATGAAGCGGCCCCCTGATCGGCCTTTTGTCTGCTTTAATTGAAGACACAGGAGGGCATTGGCGGTGTTTCCACGCTTCACCCACAGGAGCTGCTCTGTGCAAGAAAAGCCAAGTCATAATTACCATAATACAATCAGCATTACACCAGATAACACCCCTATTTCCTCCTGTCATTATTGAGGCACGCAGAACCACCCAGCCATTCAACTATTTGCTGAAAATACAACGCAAAGCTGCGGAGAGACAAACACTCATTATGTTCCAATTAATGTCCCATTGTAATTCTCCTCTCGTGGGAGAATGTGATATTCTTTATTAACCCGTAGTGAGGACGTCCTGAGCATTTATTACATCCCTTGTGTTTTTAGTGCTTGTTGTTTTTTTTTAATTTGTAAGGAGAAACTCATTAAGTGGCTCATTAATATCCTGATTCAAATACAAATCACGTCCCGGCAGACAGTGTCCCCTTGAGTCAACGGTCTGAACTCTGATAGCTGCAGCTAATGTGCTTAAATAGAGTGAGCATTTACCTTTTCTTTCCCCTTCCCGCCCACACGCTCTCCGCTCCTCCACATGCAGAGTACAGTGTGACGCGGCCCGAAGCTGCCTGAAATAGCCACCACAGTGATGACAAATAGACAGGAAGAGATTATAAAATTTGCTTAAGTGTGTTAATGGGCTGATTGCGGGAGCCCGCTTGGATTTCGCTGGAAGTTGATTGATTAGAGCTGCGGGTTTTCTCCACGCCCGGAGAGCTCAGGGATTTGACGGGGTAAAGGCGCTCGCCAAGTCTGTTACACCGGAATTGATCTTAATTAGATCTGAAAGACCTGCCACAGCAGAATGGTTGCGGCGATTAAAATGAAAAACAGGAGAAATTACTGATCAAATTAATCATAATGTCGGGCTACAGCTGTAGGTCTGGTGTAATTTGCCACTCCAGTGAGTTACATCAGCCGGGGCAGGGAGAGGAAAGGCAGCACATACTGATCCGTGGCAGCGGGAAGCTTAGGCCAGCCTATCAACGTTGTTATTCCAGTTTGTCGTGCCCCAGACCCCCCCCCCCCCCCCCTCCCTCCTGTTCTAGCTGCGCCACCCAGTGGAGCCCCCACATCTCTTCCCTCGCTGCCTCTCTCATCTAATTAGTCACTTTTTATGGCCTTCTTTAAGCCAAATCCCTCCACATTATGTCGCTCTTCATCCAGAGCTGCATTTACAGCGACGCTGCCCTGTCTCTCTGCTGTTCTTGTCAAGGCTGTCTTGTCACCAGCATGTTGTGTGTAGTCTAATAGCCTCTGACCTTGGTCCAGTGTCTGGCTGGCTGGTTTTCAGGGGGCCTGGCGGAGACAGAAGCGTCCTGTCTTCCTCCTCAGCCAGACTCCTACCGTCTGTCTGTGTCTCTACTCCCCCTCCGCGGTCGTCTCCTTGATCGCTGTCAGAGCCCCACACTGGGCCTGTCCACTCTCCATCCACACACTCATAGGGGTAATTACAGCCTAGGGGCCGGCCTCCTATCCCTGTGCTCCACAATTTACCACCAAAGCGTCCACAGACATCTCTCTTCTTCCCCACTGCACCCCGACATCACAGGACCGCAGGGCCTCAGACCCACAAGTGCTGCAATTACCTGAGCCTCTCCTCTATCCTTTTCTCTATCTCTCTTCTCACTCTCTCCGACTCTCCCCTCTCCCCCCTCTGCTCCTCTCTCTACCCCTTGGCTCCCTCACTATTCCCCGGCAATCAGCCTTCATTAGAAGCCTCTGGTGAAAACCCATCGTCACCAAGGTCAGCTGCTGCCAACCACAACGGCCTTTCAGAGGCCTGGCTGTCTGCACTCTCCATCTCTCCTCACCTCCTTGCTGTTCTTCCCTCTTCCTCCTCCTCCTCCCCCTCCCATTCGCTCCACCATCCTCCTCAAGTCTCGGGCCCATCTCTGCTGCTTTTGTCTCCAGCTGAGGCCCCTTCAGACACTCATGTCACTGTTTTCCGCTGCAGTGCACTTTTACTTATGTCAGCCGCTGTTAAAATCACCACTGTCCAATTTGCTCAAAATATCTCTCTTTTTATGGGCGGTGGGCGTCTCTCCCATTATATTAACATGTGTAGTAAATGAGCCTTGCACATCGATTAATTGATTTTCCAGATCAGCCCCGCGTCTATTCAATTTAGCAGAACGGGCCAGCACCATTCAGCGGAGTATTAAATCAAAATTAAAATGACATGCTCAAATGTAGAGCCGATGGCTCACACTGGGGCTCGTCGATGAAACTGGCAACGCGTAAGTCGAGGAAAGAGTCCATTATCTCAAGCGTGTCTCATAACTCAGGTGGTGTCTGAGATTTGCAGAAAGATCACAGAGTTAATGTAAAGAAATATCAGAGGGGTTTTTTGGAGGGGGTTTTGAAGTTAACTACGATGTGCATCACATAATTGTATTTGTAAAAAGACCTGAACATGTACTGTACCAGTCAAATGTTTGGACACAACTGAGTGAAATGCATTTTATTATCTTAATGACATTTTCATGCTTAAATGTTTAAATGTCTTTATTATTGAATTAAATGTATTTATTTAATAGGGACAATGCGATTTAAAATAGTTTCAATACAAAGCATGAAACTGATGTGCTGCATAAAGAGTATATAGCTATTGCTAATTTCCAACTTCCCAACTGTCCCCAGCTGGGCCTTTGTGCAAACAAACATAAAATATATGTCATAGAAATAGAAATAGTGAAGTTGATGCCTACGTATGAATGCATTTCTTTCCAAAACATGTTTTATTTTTATTGTTTTGATATCTACTATTATTCAAAAATGTGTAAAATAGTAAAAAAATAAAGAAAAGCCCTTCTATCAGTAGGTGTGCCCTTGATACAGCTTACAGTAGCTTTATTATAATAATATGATATTCTGTATTATAGATAACACTGTTACTGTTGTGTGTCCAAACTTTTGACTGGTAGTGTGTGTTCCCATTCTACCAAAGCTAGCTTCAGCTCATTTACATCCTCAGTCACTTTCCAGATCACATCTACTCTCACAGTTTCACATCTTTAAACTCTCTCAGCGCACTTACATGGCACACAAATGGAAGATTTGTGTTTCCACTGTAACTTAAATGTTGTTTAAGTGTTCATGATGGATTAGAGCTGGGTCTTTGTAATAAAACAATAAGTAAGGTCTTTGACCTGCTTTTTGTCGAGCGTCTCGAGATAACACTTTACAAATAAAGATTGATTGAAAGGATTTAAGTCAAGAGTTTATTATTTAAACATGTCAAACAATTGAAGTTGTAAAACTTGACTTATTTAATAAAAATCAAGCACTGGGACACTTCTGAAAATGAAGACCCTGGAGGTTTTATCTTATAAGTTTAGGATCTTATTTTTTAAATATCTTATATTTTAAACCCAGACTGCTTTGGGGCAAAACTTGCAAATTACCAAAAATATTTTACAAGCCTAAACAAACTATATAAGTCACCTCTATGGAAGGTACCTTGTTTGTTTTATTTAACCAGGTAATTAACCCATTGAGATCAAGGTTGACCTGGCCAATAGAGCAGCAGCAGCAGCAGCATACGTCATAATAAACAATACATGAATAAGAAACAGTTCACAAACAT